GGGAGGGGCAGGGGCAAGCTAGGTGCGCTCGCGTCATATTTGACGTCCTACCCCTCCCTCCCATCCCTTACCATGGCGCTGATTTTCTCTATCCGCGGAGGCGTGTCGTAGCGGACCTGTGGCTCCGCGCGCGCGTGCGTAGTGGGTGGTGGTGCGCGTGCGTGCGTGCGTGTGTGCGTGGTGGTGATTCTGGTGGTGGTGGTGGTGGTGGTGGTGGTGGTGGTGGTGGTGGTGGTTGGTGGAGGTGGTGGTGGTGGTGGTGGTGGTGGTGGTGGTGGTGGTTGGTGGTGGTGGTGGTGGTGGTGGTGGTGGTGGTTGTGGTGGTGGTGTTGGTGGTGGTGCGGCGCAATGGTGGCGGGCGGATGGGCGCGCGAGAAAGAGGCCCGCGCTGGGGCGAGAACGCCATCCTGAACGACGGAGGCCAAACACCGATCCGAAAATGAGGCCCACGCTGCAGCGGGAGCACGATTCGGAACGATCCGGGAGCATAAATGAGGCTGGCGCCTCAGCGAGCGCAGCATTTTGAAAAAAAAACGCAGGCGATAACCCAACTCCCGGGAATCCTGTGTGTAAACAAACAGTACGCGGGGGGGGGGCGGCCACTCCAGCACGCCATCAGGGGAAGAGGGAGAGTAGTATTCATATTGATAATTGTGGAGGAGGAGGAGGAGGAGGAGGAGGAGGAGGAGGGGGGGAGGAGGAGGAGGAGGAGTAGGAGGAGGAGGAGGAGGAGGAGGGGGAGGAGGAGGGGAGGAGGAGGAGGAGGGAGGAGGAGGAGGAGGAGGAGGAGGAGGAGGAGGGGGGGGGGGGCGGCGCGGGCGCAGAAGGGCGCGATGAGAGACGCGCCTCGGTGGGCGCGAGGGCACGAAGTTGGGCGGCTCGGGCGGGCTCTGAGGCTTCCATGGCCGTTGTTGCTGGACGTGCTCGGCGGCGGAATCCGAACACTTTCCTCGACCATCCACGGATCAGGCGACCCGAGGGGCGGTGGGGGTGGGGTTCGGAATTCGTCGAGCGCGTGGCGAAATCCAGACTCGACCCCGCCTCCCATCGATTCACGAGGATCGATGGTTTGTGGGGAAATGGTTCGGATGTCGCACCTAATGTTAGAGGTCGGGCATGTCCCCCGACATGCAGATTGTGGATGAAAGATAAGATAGCCCAACCATACACCAAACTACAATCAAAAACAGAGGCTAAACATCGTCCCCAGACTATCAAAAGAACACATGTCTGAATTCTCCTCCTGTAGAGGATCATGCCCTACCCGAGGCCAGGGCTCGCATGTCGCCGCCCACTGGGCGTGCGACCCGCGCCCGCCCGCAGAAAGGAGCCGCAGTCCACGCGCCGTGCCCCCGGCATCGGGGGCACGGGGCGTGCCCGCCCTGCTGCCCGCGAGCTTGGCAATGGCCGCGGGTTTCTGCCATGGCGCAGCCCCGTACGATCGGAGCAGAAAAGTGGCACGGAAAGGATGGGCGCGAAGACCGACGGCAGTTTTTGCCCATGTTGGGCAGGATCGGATGTCACCCCTCACTCCAGCCCTCCCTTTGGAAAGGTCGCCATTCGTGCCCTTTCCGCCCTTGTCTTTCCTCCGTCCTCCACAATTACACAATATGAAAATACTCTCCCACTTCCCCTGATGGCGTCCCGAAGATGGCCGACCCCCCCCCGCGTACTGTTTTTTTATACACAGGATTCCCGGGAAACTGGTTTTCGCCTGCGTTTTTTTTCAAAGTGTTGTTCTCGCTGAGGCGCCGGCCTCATCTCTGCTCCCGAATCGTTCCGAATCGTGCTCCCGCTGCAGCGTGGGCCTCATTTTCGGATCGGTGTTTGGCCTCCGTCGTTCAGGATGGCGTTCTCGCCCCAGCGCGGGCCTCTTTCTCGCGCGCCCATCCGCCCGCCACCACCGCGCCGCACCACCACCACCACCACCACCACCACCACCACCACCACCACCACCACCACCACCACCACACACCACCACCACACCACCACCACCACCACCACCACCACCACACAACCACGCACACACGCACGCACGCACGCACGCGCACCACCACCCACTACGCACGCGCGCGCGGAGCCACAGGTCCGCTACGACACGCGTCCGCGGATAGAGAAAATCAGCGCCATGGTAAGGGATGGGAGGGAGGGGTAGGACGTCAGATATGACGCGAGCGCACCTAGCTTGTCCTCCTCCTCCTCCTCCTGCTCTTTCCTCCTCCTTCTCCTCCTCCTCCTCCTCCTCCTCCTCCTCCTCCTCCTCCTCCTCCTCCTCCTCTCCTCCTCCTCCCTCGCCAATAGTTTATATGTATGATGCGTCCCTTCTTTTAAACAGGACTCCCTATTCGTGTCGCCGCGGACGTTGTCCATTTGAGACAAATGGCCGCCTGCCCAACGGTGGCCGCGGTCGGCTTTGGGCAACATTCATTGTTGGACATCGTACCCATTTGTGCCGTACCAATTTTGGACATCCAACTCGTCCCTCCGGGTGCCGCCTTCAGCACGGGAGACGGTGCGCGCCAGAGAGAGAGAGAGAGAGAGAGCCACGTCTTTTTGCCGGCAGGTTCAGTTGACGGAGTGGTTCGTGAAGGAGGGCGATGTCGTCAAGGAGCGTCGGCGGGGTTCACGGCTCGTGCGGAGGGTTGCCGCGTTCGTCCAGCGTTCAGGTAAAGCAGCATGTCGGTCCGCTTGGTTCAGGGGCTCCGAGCAGGACTCCTCGTTCTACCCTCCT